TTTGCCTTGAGGCAGCTTTGGACTCAACTGGAATATCAGCTCTTGCCTGTGGGCATTCCCCCCACAGTCTGGACTTGCCCGCCTCCATAATCCTGTGAGCTGGTTCCTTAAAATAAGGGTTTCTCTCTCTGTCTCTGTCCCTCCCTTTCTACACACACATCACACCTTATTAGTTCTGTTTCTCTGGAGAACCCTGATACACTCCTTCTATCCAGTTTACTTCCTCTCTCTTCCACTGTGTCCAATCTGCTGTTAAGCCCATCCTCTGACACCTATTTATTTACTAGAGGCCCGGTGCACAGGATTTGTGCACTGGTGGGGGCGTGGCCTGTGGGGATTGGCCCACTGCAGGAGCAGCTGCTCGTTATGGGTTCAGTCAGCGAGAGAGACCACCGACTCAGCCTTTATTGAGCTGGCCAGTGACTACAGCACGTCCCTCCTCACAGGCAGCCTCGTACTGCAGTAGTGACCGAGGGGATAGCAAAGCTTTTATTTGCAACTACAAAGCATTTCATTAGCTGTTCCTAGTACTGGCAGGGTAAAAAGTTCACAAAAAATTCTCAAGTACAAATGGGAAGAAAACGGGCTCACACCTGGCTGGGTTGAATCGTAATACATTGTTTTTCTAAGAGAGTAATTTTTCTATGCCATGTTTCCTGCCCTTAGCACATTATGCCCCGGTCCATGTCCAATGGGATGATTTATAAGATCAAAATAACTTTTCTATTGTTAAGCCAAACAGCAGGGTTAAAGTGAAACTACAGTTTCCACCTGAGATGGCTGCTACTGTACTTCACTGCTCATCCCGGTCAGCTGAGCGGCGCTCCTAGTGTGGGAGCGCACTGACCACCAGGGGGCAGCGCCTGCGTTGAGCGACCCTTTGGTTGACCGGTCGTTCCGGTCGTTCCGGTCATTCCGCCATTCAGTCGCTGGCTGGGCTTTTATTATACAGGATTACTTTTTATCCTCACCCAAGGATAATTCCCCATTGATTTTTAGGGAGAGTGGAAGAGAGAGGGAAAGACAGAGAGAAACACCGATGTGAGAGAAACACATCAATTGGTTGCCTCCTGCATGAGCCCCAACCAGGGCCCAGGCCAGGGAGGAGCCTGCAACTGAGGTATGTGCCCTTGACTGGACTCGAACCCGGGACCCTTCAGTCTGCAGGCCAAAGACGCTCTATCCACTGAGCCACACGGGCCGAGCCCATCCTCTGACGTTTAAGTTTCCCTGGCTGTGCTTTGCATTTCCAGAGCATTTGCCTGCTCCCCCCAAAAGGCGTTTTCCCTTCTTGGTGTGCAGCAGTGATCACGGCTCCCGAGCTCTCTCCCTCCCCGGGGTGAACTGTGCTCTCCCTCCTGCTGTCCCTGCGTTTCTCCCGGAGTGACCCTGCCACCTGTGGACCCTGACCGGTGCCACGCGCTGGCCGAAGGCATGAGGGCGGAAGCACTTGCCCCACGCCCGGCAGAAGCTTCGGGACCACGGGCGGGTGGCTCTTCCTTCCCCTTCGGCGCGTCCTTCAGCCCCGGCCCGAGACGAAGTCACTGCGGTTGGGACAGAGCCACAGCGGCCCGGCCCCGGCCCCGGCCCCACACAATGAGGAGGAAACAGCCGGTTTATGTGTTTCCATCAGGGCTGTTTCTGCCCTTGCTCACGATGCTTCCTGTTCGGTCCTGCGTGTCCGACAGCCAGCCCTGAAGTGTCTGCTTTCTGTTAGTCCTCCCCCAAGCGTATTTCCCCACGATATTCAGAGATTTAGAGAGAGCAGAAGGGAAGGGGGGAGGGGAGAGAGAGAAACATTGACGTGAGGGAGACATTGATTGGTTGCCTCCCACACGCACCCTGACTGGGGCCAGGGGTCGAACCTGCAACCCAGGTCCGTGCCCTTGACCAGAAATCGAACTCGTGACCCTTTGGTGCATGGCTAACACTCTAACCACTGAGCCACCGGCCAGGGCAGAGCCCTGAAGTGTTTTTTTTAATTAATCCCCACCTGAAGATATTCCTCCATTGACTTTGAGAGATGGTGGAAGGGACAGGGAGAGGCAGAGGGAGAGAAACATCGATTGGTTGCTTCCCGAATGTGCCCCCATTGGCTGGGAATGGAACCCCCAACTCAAGTATGTGCCCTTGACCTGGAATAGAACCTGCGGCCCTTTGGGGTATATGTGTGTGTGTGTGTGGGGAGGCACACTCCAACCAGTGAGCAACACGGGCCAGGTGGCAGGTTTGACCCTTACAGCAGCGGTCAAGACATAAACAGAGACAATAGCTAAGAGCTGGGAACAGCCCAAGTGCCCGTCCGTGGAGGAGTGGACAGAAAAGTGGAGGGACAGGCACACCCTGGAACACTGTGCAGCTGTGAAAAGAGGGATCTTACCCTTTGGGGCAGCACGGAGGGACCTGGGGAGTATGATGCTCAGTGGAATGAGCCAAAGTGAGAAAGACACGGATCACATGATCTCACTCATCTGTGGCATCTAATGACCAGAGTGAACTGACCAACAAAATAAGACCCACAGCCGGGAGGCAGGGAGCAGCCTGACACACCTCCATGTGGGGTTGGGGGCGAGAAGAGAGAAACCAAAGACCTTATATACGTATAGGCACAGCCCATGGACACGGCCACAGGGGGTGAAGACCTGGGGGTGGGGATGGTGGGAGGGGACTGGGAGGAAGGAGGTAAAGTGGGGAAATGGAAGACATCTGTGACACTATCAACAATAAAAAACATTAAAAAAAAGAGACATAAACAGAGTTGTTAGGAGGACAGAGAATTTGTGGGAGGACTTGTTTTCACAACTAAACAAATATCCATCAGAGCAGGGGGAGGTGTGAACAGAAGGAGGTGTGAGCAGGGGGAGGTGTGATCTCGGGGAGGTGTGTGCAGGGGAGGTGTGAGCAGGGGGAAGTGTGAGCAGGGCAAGGTGTGTGCGGGGGGAGGTATGTGCTGGGGAGGTGTGAGGA